AGAGTATAAGTCTGAGGAGTCATTCTTCAGAGTTAGCTCACCCGAATTTTGAAGTTCTTCTTTTCAGACTTAGCTCACCCGAACTCTGAAGTTTGAACTTTGAAGTCTTTTTTTCAGACTTATAAGTCTGAACTCTGATTTAGTGGGATTGATTTTATACTTCAGAGTTATTTCAAGAGTACAAGTCTGAAGTTATTTCTCAGAGTTATTTCCAGATTATAAATCTGAAGAGTTATTTTTTTCAGAGTTAGCTCACCCGAACTCTAAAGTCTTCATTTTCAGACAGAGTTCCATGCAAAGGCTTTGCATAGTGCAAGCAGAGCTTCTGACTTGTTTATACAGAGCTCTGAAGTCTGATGAGTTTTACTTCAGAGTTATTTCAAGAGTACAAGTCTGAAAAGTTATTCTAAAATTACTTCTAAGTATAAATTCAATTTACTGATATAGTTTATTTCTAAATTTAATTTTATTTTAGGTTTACTTCAGTTTAACTAATTATTGATATAGTTCAATTTCTAAATTCAAGTATGAAGAGTTATTTTTTAAAGTTATTGTTCAGAGTTATTTCAAGAGTACAAGTTTAAAATAACATCATACTTTCCATGATTATTCATATATGTAAGATAAGTTCTTGACATGATTTAATTTTTTTCAAATTACCCCGTGTAATACACGGGATCGAATATAGTGTGTGTGTGTGTGTGTATATATATATATATATATATATAGGGTTGGGTTCACGTGAGACTAGACTGTTTTCGTGAGACCCGTGAAACCACATTTTTACACTTGAAACTTCACAGCAAAAACACTGTGAAGGTTTAAAAAAGTCGAACCTTCACAGCAAAAACATTGTGAAGGTTACCTTCACAGCATTTTGCTGTGAAGTTTCAAGTGTAAAAAGTTGGTCTCACGAAAACAGGCTGGTCTCACGTGATCCCAAATTTCTCTCTCTCTCTCTCTCTCTCTCTCTCTCTATATATATATATATATATATATATATGAGCGATCAAATACAAACCGTCCTAATTTGTACAAACTATTACAAATAATCACATAAATTCGTCCTATATATGTATATATATATATATATATATATTTTTTTTGTAATTTATAAGGGTATTATGGTTATTTGAATTTAAAATAGTTATGTTTGGTAATTATTTATTATCAATAGATAAGTTTGACAACAACATAATATTCATACAAATATGGATGATATATCGGTTAACACAATATTAACAAAGATTTAATTAAGGTATCTATTAATTTTTTTGAAAAAAAATGCCACATATTAAAAAATGTAGAATAATTTTGTTTAAAAAAATCGCTACTAATTTCTAATGAAACATACTCAAACAGTTCAATGGAACAAAGCAATTTTCAATGAAATAGACTAAACTTTTCAATAAAACAGGGTTATATATGATTGCATTAGGTTCATATATATAACAGTTGTAATGAAACAAATTTATATTCATAGGTTTGTATAACAGTTTGTAATGAAACAAGTTCATATGTCATATATGATTGAGGTCCCCTGCCCCATTCCCATGCCTATTGTACATCATATGTAAAGATGTTATAATCAGATTGTAAAACGTATAATATTTGGGTATTCAAAAACAAGGTTTTTAGAATACTTTTGAAGTAAAGTGTTCTATTTAAGTTTTTTATATGATCCTCTGAAAAGTGTTTTTTAAACACATTTTTTTATACGACGTTATAAGAAAGTTGTTTTTTTAAATAATATAAAAAAGGTTTTTAATACCCTCTAGTTTAAAATTACCTTAAAAACTTGATATGACACACAATTGTTCGGACCATAAACATCTTACTGTTTAAACTTTACAAACTTGACTTAGGGGTCGCTTATCAAACGCTTACCCGAGTAAGCATTTATCAAGTCACATTACCTTTCGAATGACTATGACCAAAAATCTTATCCGATAAGAGCAAAAGTAAGGACCGAGAGTCTTACCAAGTAAGTGAAGGTGATGACTCTTACTCGGTTAGCACTTATCGGGTAGATTTTTATATACAATGTCGTTTTGATGGACTAATTCATGTTAGGTAAGGTAAATGATGATGTTGAATTTTACCGATAAACGCTTACCGAATAAGTGTTTACGTAAACGGCCCCATATATTCTATACATGATAAATGTTATTTTTTTATTAATATAAAAATACTTCATAAATTTTGAATTTTCTTTTTTAATAATATATTACATTAATTTTTAATAATATAAAAATACTGTTAATGACGTATTTTCGTTTAAATAAATGTTAATTATATAATTTATATGTAAATTTCGTAATGATGGTGAATAAACATGTGAAATTCTATAAATTCAACATTATAGTTCTCTAATGGGTAAAAAATAGACAATTTAAACAAATTCAAGCATTTATCAATTTACAAAAACAAACAGTCTTATTGATTCTGATTCCAGACTTCAACACCACCTCTTATCAATCAGAAGTGAAATAAGACTTGAAACTTCAACGGCTCTAAAAAACAAACATCATCCGAATGTTTTCACATGGATTAAGCCACTGTAATAAAATTGGGTATATAGGAATTGTGATAACATTAAGTTAATAAGACGTCTAAAATATGTAAGTGTTTTAATAGATTGTTTTATAGAACTTAAGTTTATAGGACTATAAAATAAAATGTCATATTTAAAAGTGTTTCAATAAGGTTATAAGACGCTTTAAAAAAATAGTAACAAGGTTTTTATGAGATACTTCTAAATAAAGTGTCGTGTAACTATTTTATAGGACACTTTTGAAAAATGTAATATAAATCCGTCTTTTATAAGACACGTGTTTATACAACACTTTTTTCAAACAATGTATTATAAAATAACTAATATGACATTTTATTTACAAAATGTCTTTAAACAACTTATTATGAAACGTCTTATAAACTTATAGTAACATTGTTAAATAGGACGTCTTTATTTTTTTGTTCATATAAACTTAAGGCCTACAAGTCACTCTATTAGGATACTTAAACACTTTAGGGTCCGATAAAACGAATTTTATAGTAATAAGCTAAACAATGTGAACGATAGAGATGTAGAGTTGTATCGAGGTCGAACAAGACTCCCAAACGTATTCCAAATCCAGTTAGATAATGAATGTCGTTGTTAACTCAGTATTTACTACAATAAAATTGGGTTCATAGGACGTCAACAATAAATAAGCGTACTAATAGATCACTTTATATGACATAATCTATAGGACTAAAAAATAAAGCGTCACATTTAAAGGCGTTGAAATAGGTTTATAAGACGCTTTTAGGCATCGCAACAAGTTTATTAGTACACTTTTATAGAAAAGGTCACAGTAGACACAAATGTCCTATAAAAAGATGGGTTTATACGACAACTATTTAAAAGTGTCATATAAAATAGCTAATGAGACGTTTTCTATTAAAAAGTGTCATAAAAAACTTCTTAAGATGTTTTATTTTTGGACTATATAAATTAAGTCTCATATAATAGTTTATTATGACGCTTATTTATTGTTGGTGCCGCATTAGTCCAGTTTTGTTGTAATGATGATTAAGAGGTCGTTTACCAAACATTTACTTGGTAAACACTTACCGAGAAAATTCAATACTATTATTTACTTACCGGGTAAGATTTTAGTCAACAAAAACGGCTTTTTATACAACAATTTTCTCGGTAAGAGCTGACTGTGGTAAGAGTCATTGCTCTCACTTACCGGGTAAAACTCTCGGTCATTGCCTCTTTCTTACCGGGTAAGATTTTTTATTCTTATCATATTCATTTGATAAGGTAATATAACTTGGTAAACGCTTACCCAAATAAATATTTGATAAATGGCCCCTTAATGATGATATCACCATCTACTTTGGTTGCAACAATTCAATTGGACATGACCAAGAAAACGTGTCAATTACCCGCAACCACCACAAGTTTTGTCCCAATGTATTCCAACAACTCATTCAGAACATCTCCATCAGATTCTTTAAAATAAAGAAAATAGAGATTTTAAATATTTTTAGCATGTTTTTTTGCTCAAACTTTTTCTCTGATACGGAGAAAGTAGGAGAGAGAGTGTAAAAATCTCAAAAAATGATTATAATAAAAAAGAAATATTATTTAATATATTTCCACCAATAGGTTGAAAATAAATATTTAGAGAGATAAATAATATTTTAATAATATAATAAATGTTGTAATTTTTAGAATGGAAAATCTGTTAGAGTTGAATGTACTTTTATTTTAAATATTTAAAATTTTACATTTATTTTGGAGAATTTCTTGAAGATTTTCCGATAAACCTAATGTCCCCTATGGCAACTACCACATGTAATTTGGTTGGATCTAAGCGCATCACCCTGGTTATTACTTTGTATGGTATGTATAGAGAGAAACAAATGCTGAAAATACTATTTAACCATTAAAGAATCTTGATTTAGGAAGGAGGTCGGAGTTGTGAAAGGGCTGGAGAAGAGGACGAGCAAGTGCCAAACCCGACAAACCCATGGTAGCTGATGAGGTTTATGATTCGAGAAGAAAAGGAGTGGGTGGGTATACGTAATGTAATACCATTTTTGTTTAATTTTCTAATGTAATATTAAGTGAATGAGAAAAATAGCAAAATGCTCTAAAGTTAACGGATCTTGTTAACATTGTTAGCCACAGGGACCAAAAAGGAAATAAAGTGGAAACCGTAAAGATAAAAAAATGTAATATTTTAAAGTAGGGTCTAGACATTTGATAATGGGTTAAACTATAGGGATTAAAAGTGTAATTTACTCTAAAACTTATTAATAATTCACGTCGGTATCACGTTACCACATCATATTTTTAAAATAAATCGACCATGGTGTCCACATAAAATATCTTACCGGTGAATATCGCAAGAATCAAGATGAAAAAGTAGGCATTTACAAAAATAATAACAAAGGACAATAACCCTAAAATAAAGATATTAAAAATTGGTTTCACTTTAAAATATAATCAGTTCTCTTAAAATATGATCAACATTGTTTAAAAATTTATCATTGTTACATTTTAAATATCATGTAAATAATAAAACCAGAAGAAACAACAATAACTCGGTGGGTTAAACGACGAAATCATCCTCAAAGGTACAACCATCTATGCTCAAATTACAAGTCAAAGAAGTGGCATGTACTCATCATACCGTTCATCATCGTCGGATTCGCAGCAACACCAAACACTCATCGACGGTACCTGTACCGTTTGAAGTTGAAATATACGTGCAAGATTCCACGCTCAAAGGTGCATTTGAATCCCTTCTTGTGGGAATACTCCCATTCTTTGTTAACAATGCGAAACGCCTGCAATATATACATATGTTCAGTAACAGTACGTACAATACAGAAACATCTGGAAAAAAAAAACTCAGGAACATTGGTATGGTTTGACTTTTAAAGTCGGGTCAAACAAACATCTACCAGATTTAATATTGACATCAATTTTCATGCTAATTCAACACCAGCATTATTCCATTTGTGATGTTTTATTGTATGTAAAATATTTGACAAGACCAACTGAACGAAGCACTATATACTTTTAGGATGGATTGTATGAAAATCATGGGTACTTTATTGTATGAAAATCATTGCTACTTTTTATGTCATGTTCAGGAACTTAGGCTATGTTTTGAAAAATTTACTTGATAAGCTAGTTATTGGCTAATAAGTTAGCTTATAAGCTCCTTAGCTTTTTGCTAATTAGCTAGTTGTTAGCTGATAAACTAGTCACATTTAATAAAAACTAGTTGATAAGCTAGATAACAGTGTAAAATGACCTAAAAGAAAAATACTAAGGACATTTGTGTAAAATAAAAGGGGCATAATTGGAAATAGTGAAAAAAACCCAATAAGCCATCTAAAGTAGCTAGCTTATCGCTTACCAAACAGGGTTTTTTCAATAAACTAACTTATGGTTATCAAACAAGGCTTTAGAACAAAACCTTGAGGTGTGCTACCCGATGATGATATATTGAAAAGAAAGTGCAAAATGATGTTGAAACTTACGATATCCTCATAGGGTGGGCCAGCATGGAATCGAATGATGCAGGTTTCAGCGCTATCACCGTCCTTCTCTATCGTGTAAATGGGAGCTTTTGTTTTGTCAACAAGATCCGGGTAGAATATATTGAACTTGTAACCTTGCACGATCTTTGGGGGCGGATTGTCATGATCGTAGTGAGTCTGGTTGTATTTGTTCCACTCGTATCCAGTGTGCACTCGGTTAAAATACTTTGGTTTTCTAGGTCGATATTTGTCATGCCACCAGTATACCTATAAATTCAGATCCATGCACGTAAATTTAATGTTGAAACATATTACCCTAATAGACAGTATTCCAGATTAACCGACCATCCTACCAAAAACCAAACCAACCTAGTATATCCCACCCAGAGGTAGGGTAGGGGTACGATGATTCCATAACGTTTATTTAGGAGAATAACCTTATGACAATATTTTTCCTAAATATAACAAATTTAGAGGCATTCTTGTGTTTATAAGAGGCACTCTTCTGTTAGGTGTTGGAAGGCTTCCTAAATCTGTTAGGTCATGCATTTAAAAAAAGAAGTGTTAAGTTGTTATTTCCGAAATAATCTGTTTCCAAGAGACGGAGTCTAGTTCATAAAGATTTCAGCCCTTATAAACCTGTTAAGAGATTAATCCCTCGAAATCGCTCCAAAAGCAGGATAAGGTGATGTTTGTTTGTTTTACCTGCGAGTCCACATTCACTTCATCGCTGTTTCCAAACACTTCGTCACCATTATCCATGGCTCCCATGATTTTGACGGCCCTCATCTCTAAATTATCCTCAGAGGGAGGTGGTCGCATAGCCATTGCTTCTTGAAATTTACGCTGCTGTTCTTCCACTACAGCTATACGCTTCCTTTCCTGTTTTATGAGACAAATATGTTACACAACTCTATCTTCAAGCAACAATATGTTGAAGGAGGGGGCGTCGGTGTTATTTACCAATATAGCCCTATCCTCTTCGGGGTCAATTGCTTCATCATTTTCATCCTCGTGCAATAATTCTGGTGAAAATGAACCAGCTTCTTCCTCCTCCATTGACTCGTCATTTGGTATTGGTTCTGGAGAGAGAGGGACTTCATCGTCTGTATGCAAAAGAAAATTATCATCCAACTTCTTTCAATTGCAAAGTAATAATCTTGAGAGCATCACCAACAGATTCTCCATAATTTTCCCCAGAGATGGAGAATCAAAAGTCGAAGTCTCCAAAAAAATATAAATTCAACTCCAACAACTCCATTTTGGAGATTCCAGCATTAACTAGATTATTAAAAGATTCAATATGTTTATAAAATTTTCTCTCTCTCCCAAACATTTAATTATGAAGAGTCTTATTGATGGGAATAATAAAAAAATCTCTCCTAAACATTCAATTTTAGGCAATTCTCGAAATTTGGAGAACGTTACCTCCTCTTTCTCCATTTTGGATAAAGTTTTGGAGAATTTGTTGGAGCAAAAAAGTAGCATAAGATCCACAAAATCTCCATTTTGGATAATCTGTTGGAGATGCTCTAAGAGACTATTTACTCGAAAATAACTGTCCATACCCTCGTGAGCATGATCAGATTCTTCCTCCACTTTTGGTGAGACGGTTTTGTCTCTCTCAACATCCCCATAAGTAGCATATGGCTCAAGGCGTTCTAAATGCTTACGCAACATCATATTGTGAATTTCCTTTAAGCAAGCCTACAGATACAGAAAAAAGTGTATTAGAAGATGAAAAGGGAAGACTGGATTCCATAAGCATTGATGATAACTGTACCTTTGCTTTATAGATGTGAAGACGTTTAAGAACAGCTTCCCAATACTCGACAACCTTAGCAGTGCCAGAACGCATCTGTGACTCAATCTGGGACTGAAGAGCTTCAAGTGCGACGAATGATTTGCCATCGAGAAGGTTCCTCACATCTGCCTCGATACTTGAGTGCAAACCTCTTTCTTCTGCAAGTAGCTCCACAGGTGGTTGTTCACCTCTGACTCTAGCTCGATCCAATGTGTCTTTTTTACGTGCCTCAGCTAATTCCCAGTCACAAACCACCAGAAGTGCCTACTTAATTAAATTACATGATAATTAGGTAATCAAGAACAGAAAAATTGAAAAACTAGGCAATAAAAGGAGACCTGAATTTGAAAACATCAAATAATTGTGAAATTTATCGTCTTTAGAACTCCTTGGTCATCAAATAATGCCTATGATCAACAATTTAATTGGGAACATAACTACCCACTGCATCCAATCTCTAAAAAAAGCTAGAATGTAGGCCTTCAGACTGAAGAATGTGTATGAAAAAACTGAAGAGAGATCTGACATGAATGCTAGTTGTGTAAACCTTTTAGAGTCTACTTGTATTCTGGATGTTTGATACAGTATGCCTATTCCCAATAAGAGGCCTTTAAGCATGTGTGACGCAAGCAGCTATATCACAAATTGAAAGAAAAACAGATGATCAAATCCTCGGAAACTTCTGTATATTTGAAAACTAAGGGCATTTCCCAGTATGCATGTAAAGTTCTATTTATTCCCATACATCATGCCATAAGCAATATGATTCAATTAAAGAGAGATACTTTATAGGAGAAGTATATTAAAAGATAGCTTGATTAATCACTCCTACAGAAACCTCTATAATTTAAATCTAACATACTACTAGCTGACAGCAAGAAAGCACACAAGAATTATAGAAGTTAATTAACATATAAGCTTCAGTTTTCTTCTCTTTAGGCACGGAAGGGGGCATTGTCACCTTGTATAATGAGACTCTCAACAATGCGAAATTGGGGGAACTACATAAACTTGGGATATCAAAAGATACACCAGCAAAAATTGGACTTAATTATAGGTGGGGTGATAAGAACACAGACTAATTCTTATTTTATTTATAAGAGTACCAAAGAATAAGACAAGGATAGCCCCTACAATTCGAGAAGTAGGATATCTCCCAAGACTTAGACACAATTTTTCCTCCCAAAAACACTTTACCCCATTATTTACTTGAGATCTCCTAAGCCTACGACAGCTAATTAATATGATAATAGAAGATAATACTCGGCACTTGTACATTCTATCAAAATGCCCAGTCATATGATGGGGGTAGAGAGACAGATTACCTCCCAATATTGTATATGTGTTGGTGTTCCAGTGTCCATCTCTAGATGCATTTTTATGTCCTCATGAAGCTCTTCCATCTCTTTAACTGTCAAACCCTGTACCAATCAAGAATAGATTTGCATGAAACCATGAACATTAAACCAAGCCACATATGATACAAAGAACACTTAGAGCTTTTAGATTAAAAAGATAAAAGTTCAATTTTCTTTGGAGAAGTCTCCACTTCATAGATCCCCTCTCCCCCATCGATTTGACAAAAACGGATTATAAAAGAAAAAGACCAAGCTTGATTTAAAATACTAATGACAAAAGGAAATTTTCTTTCCCATTATTCTTGGAACAAGAGAAGTTTTCCAAGACAAAGGACAGTTAAAAAACAAAAAGAGGGAGGAGGCATAAATCAAAACCTTCATATATTGATGGGGAAAGTTTCAGCAAAGAGCAGCCTTAAGAAGACATAAATAAGCAAAGCAGCACTTGATCATAGATGATTAAATGGGTACCTTAAAGACCATGTATGGCTCCTCTATCTCTATATCATTTTCATCAGAAGGATCAAGATGCTTAGAAAGTATATCAATTGGCTTGATACGCCCTTCACGCAACCGTATACCAGATCGAACTTTGCTTTGTTCGAAATGAAACTGTCATAGCACATGTTAGTGAACATTTAGAATTTTAAAAGATGATGGGACGACTTTTACTACTGAATACAAGATTATTCCAAAGTGATAAAAGCAATAAAGCACTCAACCTCTTCTTCTTTCTTTTCCCAGTCTTGGAACTCAGCCCGAGCACGCTCTCTAGCCAGCAATGCCTGCAAGACAACGGTTATCAAGCTATGCACTTTCTAACTTAGAATTATTACAAGCAAATAACAATAAGACCTAGAAGTAGAATGATAGTTATGCAATCAAACTTACCATCTCCTCCTCATGCTGTGCTTTTTCAATAGCCCTTTCCTCCCTTCTCTTTTTAACCTTTTCAATTTCAGCCTGCAGTATTATTGAAGATATAAATAGATAGAAACTAAAATATAGAAGACTATTGATGGTCCACTAAAACATTTGGTCTAATGATCAGACAACTAATGAATAGCATGTAACCTACAAGGGTCGGCTCAGCAGCAACCAGAAGGTCACAAATCACCTCATGAAGCAAGAGGTCTTTGGCTTGATTCTGCTGGGTCCACCAATCTCCATTGTGGGCCACACCAATCTCCCCTGAGGGAGACTTTGCCCAGTTTGAATGTATGTGGTGGTGGTTTACAGGAGATAGTTGAATAAGAGTTTCTGTTAGAGAGATATTTACGCTCTTCTAGAAGAGACAAGCTTGCTTAATCATGATGTGATATCTGTCCTTACCAGATATTTCAATATATCTTCAATACTTCAATATGTATAGAAGATATCATAAATAAAAGAGAAAGAAAATATTTTTTTGAATGAAAGAAGTACAATCAGATGAAGTGTAATGATAGGATAATTAGTTATTTGAGGTTCAAGCTTGCAATATGCATTGGAAATAACTCTTTAAAGTGTAATAAGATCTACGAGTTGCGTAGCTTCCTTGGCATTTTTCATGGACTTTGAGTTCAAGATGTCTTGTACACTCTCAAAAAATTAGTATGAAGGGCATCACATGATTATTTACATAAAACGTTGCAGCATTTTCATGTTGAAGGTTTCAGATCATCAATTTGCAAGATACCATATAAATAGTATACCTAAAGTTGATTTATTTCTTTCCCTGATGGACAATGCAAAACTTGGAGCACAGGTAACAGATTGTGATTTATTTATTAGGTAAAGGTACGGACACAGAGTCTAGACAACAAAGCAACCCATACTAAATTCAAACCCCCCGACGGCAAGAGCCTTATAAATTGGAGCATTTAGGAGAATTATGTAAAATAAGCTAAATATCCAAAGAGAGTAACATCCAAGAGGATACAATGCAAATAATTCGGCTTGGAAGTTACACACCATCCTTTCTTTCTGTCTCTTTTTTTCAGCTTTAACAGAGAACATGTCAAGAGGAACTCCTTGAGTAACATCACGCTCGATCTTCTTTCTCCACACAAACCTGCAAATCGTATATCATAGATTCATTAGCATGAATAATAATAAATATTGCAAAACTGTTGGGAAAGAAAACTAGTGATGTGAGGATATTCTAATATTGTATTCACCAAATGTATTGCTTCTTTCATATGTATGAAATAACAAGGAACAATTTCGAAGTTGCAACAAACTTATAAAATAAAAATCACTCCTCTCAATAAAAATTAAAAAAGCGATTGCAGCTTATTGCAATTGCAGGTCACTATAAATCATCCCTCTATCCTTTTCCCTTTTGACAAAGATAGCATCCCCACACAGACATAAACCCACAACTTCACAAGGTAATAACCCAGGTCTGGGTTTTCAGACACATACCCAATTATTGAACCGTGATCATAGGCCATAGCCATAGGAGGTGGGCAGTGAACTGGCTGTGAGTGTTGGAGGCTTGGATATCGTGGAAGTGAGGAGAGAAAGGCTCAAGCAGTTTGAACTTTGGACTAGCATACTAATAACATGTGTTTTCAGTTGCTCAGATGAACATATAGAGAGAGAGATAGAAGTCTTCACCATGAGAGTTGGAACATATAAGAAACAAGCCTAACTCACTATGATATTAGAGAGTTCAATTTACGCGCATAATTCACTTTTGTACTTTGTTTTAACAGAGAACCACAGGTTCGTCCATTTCAGGCCAGGTAAGAAAAATCCCATGGGCCTTGTCACCTGTTAACCAGTGAGACATCATTTTATGAAATACACATTTGTGGGTAATCTGGGTTTGGGTCACAAATCCCCAGATCTGGAAGTACTTAACATAGCATCACAAATGCTACATACATGTGCACGACTACATGGTGAAAGTGGTTTAGAGGACCCTCCGTCATGAGTATCCAAATGTCCCCGTGGCATAGAGTTGTTTGGTTTAACCAAATGATCCTGAAGCACTCATTTATCCTTTGGTTAGTGGTCCACCGACACCTACCAACTCAGAATAAAACATGGATTTGGAAAGAGAGGCTTGCGAATATGTTGTGTTCACCTTGTACAATAATCCACGATAGTCATAACCACCTATTCTTTTTGTGTCCATACTCTAAGCAAATTTGGACGGCCCTCAAGATTTCATCCAATATGGAGGATATGAGGGATACATGGGATGGTATAATCGATTTGGTGACATGAGTACTCCTGGAAAGGCCATTAGCGATCTCCAACAACTGGTCCTCAGTGCCACAGTATACCACATATGGCAGGAGAGAAACCGATGGTTGTTTATGAAGGTGTACCATACAGCTTAGGAATTAACTATTACTATTCGGAATGAGGTATAGGATGAAGTTGAAGAGCGTGAGCCTAGTCCTGGGAGCTTGGAACTTATCTAATACTCGATGCCGTTGTCTGTTCGAAGGATTTTGATCTTTGCATCATATTGTGTAAAGATCATCAAATGGAACTTTTTAAACATACTAACAACTTCAGCTTTGTTATGTAAAAGATAAATCCAACAAACTCGATTATGATCATCAATGAATGAAGTAAACCATCTTTTATTAGAAAACTGATGGGATTTTTTAAGGACCCCATACATCACTATGAACTAGAGAAAATAGACTCGATGCACTATAGGTATGAATAGGAAACAGGACTCTAATATGTTTGGATGTCTGACAGACTTGTATGAAAAAACATCCGAATCATTAAATAAAGATGGAAATAGTTTCTTAAGGTACGAAAAACTAGGGTGGCCAAGCCTTTGTTGAAGAAGATTGATTCGTTGGTAACGATTTTAGGTAGTAGATCTAAACTAGAAAGCTTGTGGCAGATTTGGATGGAAGTACTATAATCCAAAAGTCTTTTTAGCACGACCAATCGTCTTCCCAAATACCTGATCCTGGAAAAAACACAAATGTTCAGAAAAATTATCCAGACACTTGGAATCTGAGGTCAGATGGCCAATAGAGATAAGATTGTACGACAGTTTTGGTACAGATAGAACATCATGGATAATCAAGTAGGGTGTAAGTTCAACTGGGCCAATTCCTTCAACATAAGCTATAGAACCATCTGCTAAGGTGATTGTTCTTGCAATTGGGCAAGGCTTTAAGGATTGAAAGACAAACTCATTACCAGACGTGTTCTGATGCTTCGAAATCCACAATCCATGACTCACCTGGAATATCTTCGGTTCGTTGGTTACCACAAGCCATAAGTGAGGTTGAAGATGTTAAGAGCTGCCCAATTTGTTCAAGTTGTGCCTTCGAAAAAACAGCATCCATAGATTTTGGAGGAAGAAGATGATCCTGATCTTTGGGTTGTTGGATTTCCTTTACCTTTCTGGAATTTTTTGGCTCTGAGGTTCCCAATTAGCAGGTTTTCCGTGGATTTTCCAACAAGTACTCTTTTGTATGATGGGGACGTTGACAGTGGTCACACCAAAGAGTAGGCTTGCGAGGTCCATGGTTATGTGCAACATGGCAGCGGTTTCAAACTCGATGTGTGTTCCATTAAGAACTGGACTTGTCATCATGGTCCTTTCCCAATGTTCTTATCGGCGAACTTCAACAAAGATGGCATCGACTACTGGTAGGGGTTTAATGCTGAGAATACGTCCTCGGACTTTATCAAGTGAGGAATCAAGACCAGCCAAGAAATCATAAGTTCTTTCTTTGGTAAGCACTTTCTTGTATAACTCGGCATCTACTGGATCCTTCCACTCAGGCTGAGAAAAATGATCCAATTATTGCCAAAGTTTAGTTAACGCATTAAAATAAGTAGTAACATTACCGGTATCTTGTCTCAGATTTCGAGCCTTAGTTTGAGGCTCAAACATCTGTGAGGAGTTTTTGAGATCTGAATAGGAGCGAGCGACGGCATCCCAGATAGATTTTGCCGTAGGGTAAAGGAGGTAAATTTCTACAATACTGTCTTGCATCGAGTTGATGAGCCATGCCATAACCATGGAGGTCTGAATATCCCATTCAGTAAACGAGGGATCTGTGGGTAAGGGTTTTTTGATGGAGCCATCGATGTAGCCATGCTTCCCCTTCCCACGAATAACGAGTTGGACAGATCGAGACCATTGAAGGTAGTTCGATACAGACAGCTTAAAGTTTGTAATTTGGAGACAGATTGTTTTCGGAATTGGCAGCATTAGGAATGCTTTCTGACAGGTTCGATTTTCCTGGGTCCGATCCCATACTGGTTATTGTCTTATTGACTAAACATTGTTCACTTCGGAGTTAAATTCATGCTGGAGTACTGTTCGCGCAGAAGGCTTTAAGAAAAAAAATTGAGAAGAATCAAAGTTTTTAGAGCTTTAATACCATAAAAGCTTTAGAGAAGTAGGAGGAATATTATTTTCTACTTTTTGTTGATTACAGCATAAGAAACTATATATACAAGTAGAGGTTAGGAGATAAGCTACAACTACAACTACAACTCCTAACAATATGGGATAAGCACTTATCTACAAATGTTTCCTTAATAGAGTCTATCTATAACTCTCCATTAATCTATATCTGATTACTATTCTACATTGTGTCTAGTCTAATGATCTCCATACTGATCATTGGTTGGACTTGCTTTTGGGTGGTAGTACCACGCCATTTATGTATATTCTTTAATCTCGTTCTCATAAAATATTGTTACCATCCTCTTTCCCAACACTACATACATATAACCTCAACGGAGTACTGATAAAACCCATCACAGGAATTGATAAAACGCATGTAATCATCATAGTTGCTCAAACACCTAAACGTCCTCAACAAAGATCACTATAGTCACAACTTTGGGAGTGTGTAACCTGAAATCATAAGCACCTAACCACTGCATCCCCCTACAGTAGTTGTTATATTAGCAAACAGTTTCAGAGAAGAAAGACAAGCATGCCAGGAAACGAGCCAATATTCTAAGTTCTTTTCACAAATGAAACTTTGAGACAAAGATAATGAACTAATGATCACCCATAACCTCTATCCGATAGAGACTAAGACCTATGATGCTACACATACCTACTTAGAACCATTAAGTAACCACCTAGACATTAAGCATCCCCAAACACTTCAATTAGTCAGGACCCCTGAATAGACCACCTAGGATGTAAGTGTTAGGTAAAACGTTACACACGCAATACGCACAACCCAAAAACAAGAGAAGAACACAATAATTTACGTGGTTCACACGATCAGATTGATCGTGCTAGTCCACGGGGGCAACTAGGGTTTTTTTTATTTAGGTGCTACAACGTTTACAAGTACAATGAGATTAATATATATAGACAAACATAATTAGGGTTATCTCCTAATCAAGGAAACTAGGGTAGAGACTAGGGCCGGCTCCTTTTGGGCTAGGGCCGGCTCCTTTTGGGCTAGGGCCGGCTCCTTACTTTATGCCTCCTCCCTTTTGTCTAACTTAGTAGGCCGAAGCCTACATTCCAACAGTAAGCATCCTCTGCCACTATGATTTGTAACTAATCATTGAATTAAATGGTTCAAAAACTAAGCAAGGATAATCAACATTTTTCAACTTGAATGGAATCTTACCAATCTTTTGTAGAGTAATGGTATCAATGGAACAATAACACTAGTAATTTAGAAAAGTAATTGCTCAAAAAGTTAGTCCTTATATGTCCACATGATCTAAAACTATATCTTATATAATCAAATAAACCGCTTGCGGCTCTGCTTACACACTTTAATCCCCGCTTAGGCAACTAAACATTAAACATCACTGAACCACCTTGCCCCACTTAATGCTTTTTAGAACACTTGACGGAACGGTGACTAGAATACTTGTAGGTCATGTGGATAGTTATAAAGAAGGGACTTCATAAAGAACAGACTTGTGCAATACATTTTTACTCAGGGATCAACTCTTTTAAAATTTATAAGTTCATATTAATGTTGTCTTATTAAGCGTGATGTTCACCACATTAATTCCCTTCAGCTGTTTGCATGTCTTCTTCATTTGACAGGCCTAACAAGTCCAACTGGTGTGGATGCTCCTGCTGGACTCGTTAGGGAATAAGAATGATCTCTTAAGCTTCCTAGCAATTATAGACCAAGAAGATAAGCATAGAATAAATTTAAAAGTTTTGCACGCACATCCAATAACAAGCATAACTGTGATTCCAAGATAGCAATTCACTAGTGATGAGGTACAACCAGAGAAAACTGCTTCTCATGACTCTCAGTTGAGGGTGGGTTGACCCGGGCCAGGACGAACCTTCCAACAAGGAGAATAGTCCATCGCGGGCACTACCCGACTTATTTTGGTATTGCATATAAGTACACCTCACCGTTCCATCTCAGTATAATGGTACTTGATATCCAACACCAGAGCATCCATTTTTTATGCAGGGAAATAATACATTGACTAATGTATAAAATGTCTAAAACCAAAACTTGTCCTGCAGGGTAAGGCAATCCAAATGGCTGGAGAAACATTAAGCACCTATTTACTGGGCAAGAACATAGATATGATTCAGATATTAAGTGAAGTTTAACATCCAATAACTCAACCTAGCTTCTACATTAACAGAATTGGTCGAAAATCATATAAATTACTACAACAGTAATTCAAAGGTGAAGTTATATATGTTTAAGCGTTCTTCTGGATGTACATAGAAAAGCAACATAAAAGAGTGAAAAGAAGTAGGAACTTACTTCTCGTTGAGATTGGAATCACCAAATGGATTCGAGTCATTGGCATAACCATAAACTGTCTGAGATTTCAGCTTCTTTGCTACTTTCATTGCCTGAAGGATTGTAAGTACAGCAATCAAATCACCAAACAAGGTATCATCACATTTAATCAGCCAAAATTAACTTTCACCGTAAAATTCGAACCTTCTTCTGAGCTTTTTTGGCTAGATACTCGGCGATCTCCTCTTCACTAATCTTCTTTGACGATCCCGTCCCCTTCTTTTTCTTCTTGCTCCTGTGGTCATCAGAATCATCTTCGGAGTCGTCGTCATCAGAGTCCCGACGCCGGCTGCGCTTGCTACTGCGGCTACGGTCCCTGCTTCTCCCCGAAGGACGTCGTCGAGGAGAAGAATCATGGCTGTCGGATTCATCTGAGATGGAGGGTGAATCATCGTCATCATCATCGATATGTCTTCGTCTGGATTCTTCTCTCTTGCTCCTCCTACTACTGCCCATCATTGATTTTTGCCTTCCGAAACCTTCAAGGTCGCAAGAAAAAGATTGACCCCTGATAGAGGGTTTTAGGGTTTCTGGGTTATCAGATATCAATCTGCTAGGAACAACATATACGTTAGTAATATGTATCAATATTTCATGAAAAAAAAAATAGTTAGGTGTTGTTTGGCGGTTGCTGAATGGTTTGGTGCAGAATGGTTAAGTGGTCAGAATGGTTAAGAGGACAGAATGGTTAAGTGCTGAATGAAATAATGTTGTTTGGTAACTGTTCTCTGAATGACAATAAATTACCATTTTAACCCTCTGTTTTGAATACCAAAAGACCTTCCATCCTTGTCATCTTCTCGATGTGGGTTTCGACACTGAAGACAAAATATTAAATGTTTTTGACCGAAAAACACCCAAATCCGCCATGGATGTCAACTGAGAACTCAAAGTTCCGAAAGTTTCGTCGGAGAAATCAGGTAATTTCATGGTGCAAGTCGAGTTCATCTATTCCAAAAACGCAAAAACAGGTTTAAGGTACGAATTATGTAAGCATTTTGAGGTAATAAAAATAAAAACTTTAATTTTCTCTCTAAACCCCATCTAACAAGAGAATGATAATGTTCACCATTGCAGCAACCGTAAGTCATGAAATTTCTTCTTGATTTCCAAACCCATTTATGTCACAGAGAAGCTTATTCGATACCACAATGGAGTTTACGTTTGTGATCAGTTTCTTTTTCAATGTCGATTTGCAGGCATACCTTTGACCAGAATTTGGACAGCCGGCTCCAGAGATGCCCATTTGGTTTTGCTACTACATAGATCCATTTGTGTGGATGGAAAGGGGAAGAAAATGGTGGAGATTAGGAGATGATGAGAAGGGGAAGTCAAAAGGGAATTAATAATATAAGTTGCAGAAGAGGATGAATGAACGTGGTGAGGTGGAGGAATTAAAAGAGAGAAGAAGGGAAGAAGGTGTGAAGGAAGAAACGTTGTGGGAAGGTGAAGGGCAAATAAGGAAGAAAATGGATCTGAACCATTAGGCAAGCCCTTACATGCTAAATCGTTAAGAGATGATTGTCATTATTAAGAGGTTTAAATTTTTATGCCAAACAACTCCAACCTCTTACTGATTAAGAGGTTCCCTCTTTTTGATAGAGAGGGGGGTGACCCCTCCAGATCAAGAAAAAACACTTAAACGCTAAAAAGCAAGACAAAATACGCGCTCGGGTGGGGGCGAACCACATCCACCAGAAAACCAAGGCACCCCGAGAGAAAAGGAGGAGGAAGAAAGAGAAGAAGAAAGAGAGAGGAAGAGAAAGAGAGAAAAGAAAAGAGAGACAGGGGAAGAGACGAGGTTCCCTCTTAATGTCACCATTAAGAGGTTACCAAACAGGCCCTTAATCACAAGGGTGATCTTGATTGGTTTGAGTTAGTCCAAAGATCAAAAATATCACAAGGTTTTAGGTTCAAATCAGAGGAGGAATAAAAATCCCCTTCTGGTTACGGAGGTTCAAATGCGGCGATTCTGGACTATCTGCAAAACAGGTAGTCATCTTGGAATTAGTCAGCTCGTATAACGGATTGGATATCCAGGTTAATAAAAAAACATATACGAGTGTTCATAATCATAGATTTGTTTGTATAGAAAAATAAAATGATAATTTATTTTTTTTATTTTTAGGAGTGTTTGGGATTGCTTATAGAGATAACTTATTAATTTTTTTGTATGTAATATTGATAATAAGTATTTGGATAAACAACTTATATTAATGTCAAACTGATAATAAGAAGTTTTTGAAAAAGTTAAAGCATTCTAACTTATAATCTCTTACAAATTAATTATCTCATGTGTTTTAAAAATTCAAATTTAAAGTTTATTACTATATTTTTTTTTATAACTAGAAGGGTACTCGTGCAATGCAGCGAAATAAATCTTGATTTTAATGTTTAGTTTTTATTCTTTGTCTCTATCAATATAATACGATTTTATGTGGTTTTGAAAAAACGATAATGTTTTTATTTTTGAATGAGATATAAATTTGAAGATAGCATAAAAAATTGAAAAAAATAAATTAAATCGATATTAATATCAAATTAACTATTTAATAGATCTCGTTTTTTTGGTGTAACTTCTTTAATTCAATTTTTTATTATAATTTAATTTATTTTTAATTTAACAATATAATTTTTTATAAATATAATAATTAAATATTATGTTAAAACTCAATGATTATCTTAATTATATTTTAAATTTTTTTATATTTAAAATGAATGTTTATCCTGTATTTGATTATGTTTATCCGCAGTTAGTTACACGAATTTAAAAATAGAGCTTTAATAAGTTGTACTTACGTAAAATTACTTATAATCTTGAATTTTAAGTAATATGCATCAATAAACAATACTTTATGCATTAAAAATATTTTTAAAAGTTTTTGTCAAATATTTTATAATATAATATAAATTTATTTGAATTTCATAAAATTAATTGACAACAAATTAATTTATACATAATCTTTTCATGATTCAAAATATATTTTATAAATTCAATATTTTTGTTAAAATATTGTATTAGTTTTTTCTCATATTCAATTTAGAGTAAAATTTTATTTCTAAGGACGTATAATTGGTTATTTTTTATGTTATATGGTGCACAATTAGTTATAAAGTAAATTGCAAATTCATCTTCGTGGCTATATGAAAATTTAGATTAGGTCCCTCAAATAAAATAATTATATGTATGATTATCGTGATTCCATTTTTATTTTGGATTGAGTCATTTGCCCTAATTCTGTTAACTTTTGTTATTAGCTCAGGGGCAATTTAGTCTAATTTTACTTTTTGTTAAATAAATAATATGTTACATATTATATTATAATTATATATAATTAAAGTGCCCCGTCCCTCCAATAAAAATCCAACCCATATCACCTTCTTCTTTTCTATTTTCAGGAGCTGTAATACTTACCGGAGAAACCAACTACAAAAAACTAGTCTGTGTACTAAAACCAAAATGAAAACAACAAAATCCATTTCAAAATCAAAACCAAATTAAACCCTAACATCAAGAATCCAATCCATTTATCAAAGCTGAAACCCTAAAATCATCAAATAAAACCAAAACAACATTGACAAAGCTGAATTTGAGATGGGAAAGAGGGAAGATAAAATAAAAACAGCAGAATCAGGAGAAACAGGAGAAGGGGGAGATAAAACCGAACATAAGACATAAAAGAGGACGTAAGAAAGGGGTAGGCTAATAGGGGAACGGGGACATCAAAAGAAATATAAGATGGAAGAACCTTATAGACGTGATGGTAAATGGGTCACCTCATCGACCTTTGGTAGTTGGGTTTCAATCTCAACCGAAGTTCAATAGAAGGACTTTGACATCTCGATTTCTACTGTAAGTTCAGTAGGCGGGATGGTAAATTGGAGTTGGTGGTGTAGGGAGCGGTGAATACACCAATAGAGGCCAAAGATCATTGTAGGGGACGGCATTTGGCAGCAGAGATGCTTCGTCGACGATGGAGGCGTTCTTGGGGTGGGGGGACGACCTTCTTGGGTCTCTTTCTGTATATTATATATCTAATACATATATTAATGTACAATATATTATTATTTTTAACAAAAAGCTAAATTGATTAACTTACCCCTAAATTAATGAAACAAAAGTTTACAGAGTTAAATGACAGATCCAATTATAACAAAAGTTTACAGAGTTAAATGACAGATCCAATTATAACAAAAGTGAAACCATATTAACCATACATATAATTATTTTATATGAAAGACCCAATTCACATTTTTATATAACCAGAAGGACGAAATTTGTAATTTTTTTTAGTTATTTTATAACTCAAAATTTATTTTATTATTTTAGCACATAATTGATTCGTGTAAAAATTAGTTTTGACATTTACATTTTAATATTTATTTCCAGAACATTAATCCAAAATAAAAAATTAATTTAAAAAACCTTAAATACGAAAATAAAGATGCAAGTAAAATATTTAATTGATATAAATGTTTTATAATAAAGTTTTGGATAAACTACAATTTTGATCACCGTGGCTTAGGGGCCGTTTACTAAACGCTTGTTTGGTAAGTATTTCCCAAATAAATTTCCTCATTGGATGAAAATGACAAGGGCCAAAAATCTTACCGGATAAGAGCGATGAAAATGATGTAAAGTCTTACCGGGTAAGTGAAGATGACGACTCTTACCCAGGTAAGTGCTTACCCGGTAAATTGTTGCATTCGATACGTTTTGATGTACTAAAATCTTACGTATCAAGGTAAATTATAGTGTTGACTCTTATAGATAAGTACTTACCAAGTAAGCATTTGGATAAACAATCCCTTACACTTACTATAATAACGTTCCTAAATTTAATAATTACAATAATAGTTATTATGGTTTATAATTTGCTTTGAAAATGATTAATTTATTTAGCTTTATTTAAGATTGTCTGATAATCGAGGGATATTTTTGTCATTTTTTGTTTTATCTTTACCTATATTAGAAAACAAAGAAAACATTCATATTATATATACATATATAGGGGTCATTTAATAGAGAATTCAGTCATTTGTGATAATGTGAGAACAAATCTCAAACACAAATCAAATGATAAATTAGAAAATTAATAGTTTAAGTAATTTTGACTAAAATTTTAATTAAACGTTATGTTAGGTATTTTAGAAATCTCATATCACCTCCTTTCTCTCTCTGGCGAACTTTATTTCAGCGAACACCATGTGAACATAAGATATACACGGCGATATCCTTTATAAAGCAACAAAACACTATAGGTTGGTGGAGTCGTGTGAACACGAGATACACATTGTACATCGACACTACGAAAAGAAAGATGCATACAAATAATACTCACTTGATATCCAAAATACAAGATGCATATTGTGAAACCTTTAGCGGCGGTATAGTGTACTGACAAGATCTGATGGTCGAGATTAAACAAAAAACAAAAACAAATTAGATTGATGGAGATGGAGATGGAGTTGGTCTAGATCTGGGATGCATTGTTGTCTTTGATGATGCATCGTCGATGGAGATATGGTGG